TATATCTTATTAAAAATAGTTTTACCGCGCGATGTTGTTCCTGCCAGCATCAACGAGGGCAGTAAGGATCCCATCTATCACATGAACACATTACAATTCAGTTAAGAGTTTGTAGTACACAGTATACAATTCACAGTTCTTATCACTTTGCCACATCTGGCTAAAGTCGTATATACGAGTAGGGTTCACCACAGTCATACGCCAAAAGGCTACACACACCCCCCTCTCTAGATGATTTTTCTCGTCTTTTAAATATTTTTTTATTATTGTTTTACTAATCATATTCATCACTAGATGACCTATTCGTGCATACACCTACATATATATCATATCTATTATACATAGACATGTCTACGCAATAACCATAATATATACATCTTACATACATGACCATCGACTTAATAAATATATATACACACACAACACATACAACATAAATATACTTATTGAATCGAAATTTGTCGGAATCCTTATTGATCATATTTTATACTCTCATCTAAATCTAATATTGTTCAAATAATTTTCTCGTTTACAAATAGAAAACATGGAAGTTAATGACAGAAACTTGTAGAAATAATTAGAATACAAAAAGAGGATCCAGTTTTGCCATAGTGCGATCCTGGTCACCGGAATGCCAAATGCCACCATAAACATGTCCTTAGTTCACTATGTGCTGCTGCCGGAGCATCACAGCCGCCACACTCGCTGTTGTCGGAACCAGCACGCACCACCAGAACCACCCACGCACTGCCATGCCTCGGCTGGAACCCATCATAGAACGAGCTGCGCATGTAGATTAAGCCAGAATATAGCAGAATCACGCAAGAGAAAAGTGTAGATGTGCAGAACCGTGCCTGGCCACCACCGCGGTTCACCCTATTCTCTGCATCCTGTCGCGTGTTAACTCTCGCCAGCCATCTGGTTATGGGTCTCTTGCCTTACTGCATTCCGCACACACCAAACTCACCTCGTTGCCGGTTTGATATGCTTAAACACGTCCAAAACACAATTTTATTCAAATTTTTAATTAAAAATTAAAATAATAAATTTTTTAAAATTATTTTTATTAAAATTTGATTATCTCGGGTTTTATTTCTGAACCCGAGTGTTACATTAAATATTATAAATTATTCATTACTAACTCATTCTATTAAATACTAACTTTTACTTCAATTTTTCAGGCCTGTGAATCCAATTTAAATTCATATGAATATAGCTTTAACTTTTAATATACTCCAAATGAATTTGTACTTTACAACATTTTTCAAATTATAACCTTTTTTCTCTGTCTTGTAAACTTGTAAGTAATCATACCCACAGAACCTAAATTCAGTGAACAAATCCTGGAGAAAGATTACACGTCCTTGCACATATGGATATATATGTATACACACACACACACATATATATTCACATCAATTGCAAGTTGCATGACAAATAGCGTTTGCCATATCGTGGGGTTTATCATTTGATTTTGTCAGTGTAAAAAGTTGGATTCTTTCTTTACTAAATTCCAAAATAGCACGGTTTTTATCCCTCCAAACACAACCTAATTTTTGAAGTTATTGCTGTCATACTATAGAGTCACATTCCCATTAGTACTAAAAGCAGAATCTCCCAATAAATTCAGGCTAAATTATTAAGTCCTGTTTCTTTTTTTATAAATATAAATGGTAAATTATATGATATGTATACGTCAATCATAATATAAACAGTTAACAAAAATATATTAAAAATGTATAATTTAAATCCGGTTTTATTAATTGTGAGATATAAATTTTTGTTCCTAGTACTTTAATAAAAATTTTAAAAATTATATAATAAATAATATATATTTTTTTTAAAAAAAATCATATTAGTGTAAATATTTTTCTGAAAAAAGAAGCAAAAAAAATAATAATAAAAACTAAAAAGTGAAATAAATTTATAAGAGTCAATGTTGGGTACTTCATAATCATTTAAATAAAATATCTAATTTAATTACTTAACACTCATAATTAATATTTCAACCCCAAATTATTATCTAATAACATATCATATGCCCCCCCCTCCAGAAGAATATGATTTTTTATATAATTATTCTAATTTTTAATTAAGAATTTTAAAAAATCAAATGTTAAAAATAAATTTAAAATATTATTAATTAAATGATTAAAACAAATTAAAAACTAAATTATAATAGTTTTAAAATTACTTAAAAAAAAAAAAAAAACTCCTTCTGACAGAAATTAAAAATTAGGTGAAGAACGGAATCAAAGGCGAGCTTCTAACCAATTGCAAACTTCAACTTTCCCAACAAGGCGATGACTTGCGACAATGGTTTCCTTCTCTATCTTTTTCCACCAGAGGAAATTTCCACGTCAGATCTCAGACTCCAATGAAAATGGTCAGTATGGTATCATCAACAAATAACCAAATCTCCACCGTCCGTTACGTCCATCAAGACAGACCGCACAATCACATGGGCCCACACATCACACCACCCGTCTAACTCACCACCATCACACCACAAATTCCCCATTATTCTATTCAGTTTTTCTTAGTTACCACTCTATATTGTATATTGCTTATTATTTTTATCTTGTAAATTTTTTTTTTTGAAAAGAATAAGATATATTTTTATAATATTATTTATAAAATTATATTTTTTAAAAGGTATTTAATTTTAAAGTGTTAAGAATTAATTTTTTTGTTATTGTATTTTTCATTAAATATTACATTTTTATATTTGCAGATTTTTCAGAACAAAAAAATAATGATTAATTAATTTTAAGTAGTGTAATTTTACTTGATTTGTTTAATCTCTAATATCTTAATTTATTTTTTATTTAATATTTTAATTTATTTTTTAATATTATAATTTTTTCCTATTTAACATTACGATTGATTTCTTTTTTAATGCCATAATTTTTTTTTAATAAAAATAGAAATAATTTTCTTTTCTATATAAAAAAAATTACTATAAATTAATGTAGAGATATTTTGAAATTTATAGTAATTCCTTAATTAAAATATGTTGTTAATTTTTTACTGTTTTAATCATATAAATATCGTATGATACATATTCAAATATTATCAATTTTATTAAAAATTAAATTAATTTAAAAAATAATAAATTATTAATTATAATTTCAAACATAATCATATTAATTATTCTTGAGGGCTGATAGGTAGAATAGGCGGTTTTGAAATTAATAATACTGGGAAAATAACTGAACCGTGAATGGATCGCCGGTTGAACCGGTGGTCCCACTGGTCCGAATATTTGATAGGCAAAGAATTCACGCTTCTCGATGCACACAAAACGAAAATTCTTTCCCCTCAAACGTCAATTTCTTATTTTTAACGCACCAGAAATTTTTTTTTTTTTTTTAAATAAAATTTTTAAATACAATTAAAGACGTAATAAAACATTTTCCAATTTTCTGCGTCTACAATTTTGATATCGCTCTCTCTTTTTGGCTGCAAGCCCGATACTCTCGACCTGGAAAGCAATTATTTTCGTCTTGTCCGAACGGCAAAAACCAGAATCAACGAGCTCGAAATCGAGCAAACTAGACAGAGCAATCCCTACCAGCAACATTTTCAATTTTTGGTGTATCATCTTTTGCAATCTAGTACGGTCCTGCTCTGGTGAGATCACGACTAGTCTAAGACTCCGATCTCAGAATTTCTGGATGTGAAAACGCCGCCGTAGTCCTGGCCAAACCCTTGACAGCCATAATTACCGCCAAATCTATGTGTGGTAGTGAGATTCAGAGGGTACGATTTGTTTCCAGTCGTGGATGCATATTGAGTGGAGGATAAATGCATTTGAGCGGGGATCTAGGGTTTTCGAGCCTGGTCCTTGTGGTATGCCTGGTCTTTCCGCTGATCGGTTTCGTGATTAGACGCAAATGGCGAATAGCTGCTGTAAGGAAGGAGGAGATCAAGAGGCTCCTGGTTTTGGCGTCTGAGGAGGCCGCTAGGGCTGAGCTCGAGGCCTCTGCTAGCTACGGCACCGTTTCGATTTCGCGGGGTTATCATTGCGCCGTTTGTTTTTGCCCCACCACTACCCGATGCGCTCGGTGCAAAGTGGTTCGTTATTGGTATGTTATTTTATCGTTTTCTTTTTTTTCTGTGTTTTAATTCGGTCGTTTCCTCATAGTTGTGTAGTTATTTCTAGTTTTGCCTGAAGACAATATATATATATATATATATATATATATTAGAAAAAGTTTCTAGCTTTTCAGCTCTGGTTGAATTTGTTTCAAGGTATGTTGGGAATTTGGCTGTTGATTCAGCTGTTTGTTCAATTTTTACATAATAAAAGAATGGGTTGTAATGTATATTTATATACATGATTTTTTTTAGGATTGTTGGAAATTCTTTGATTTTGTTTGAACAGTCTGTGGGATATTCATGTTCATATTTCATCAGAATAGTTTAGGATTGAGGGTGAGTTGCAGAAGAGATCGCCATGCATTTTGGTCTGGTCGCAGAAGGTTTGTTGCACCTTTGTGAACACGAAATTGTAAATTGAATTAACCTACATCCGAAGCTATATTGTGAACTCAAGGCCGGCTGAGACATAGAATGCCCGGTTCTATCTTCCTGCTAATTTTTCGTTCTCCATGGACATAAGATGCCTTACTTCTTTAGGGATTAGGGGAAAGCACACGGATTCAACTTTATGTTGATGGAATTTGTTTTCATCAAAATAAGCCCTTCTCTTTCTAATGTTATGCAGCAGCAATTTGTTGGGGTATTGTCCTTTTGGGGTAGTTAGCTGGTGAACTATTGATTGAATTTTGCGCACCTCAAAATTTTAAGGTTGAATTACTTGAAAATGTAATACCAGGGGGATAATGCACATTTATCCTACTTAGTGACTGACTGATGTAACTGACACTAGACTGTATCATGGTTATAAGATTCAGTAAACTCTAGTTTCTTATTGAAAATTCTACCCAGGAATTGCTTGTTTATTCCCAGATTTTGTAATGATGATCTTTTCCTCCACCTAGGAGCTCTGGAGCTCTTGGAGTTTGACTGACCTGACACTTTAATTTGTGCTCTTGTACTGTAGCTCGCTATATCTCCCATTGAGTTTTTTCCTCCTTTAGTGCACCTCTGGGTTCTATAAAATGTATTTTCATGATACTTACTTCAGAATTTGAATGTTTTAGTTCTGGGAAATGTCAAATTATTCACTGGAGACAAGGGCACAAGGATGAATGTCATCCTCGAGACACTATTTTTCGGGGTAATGATGAAGGAAAGAATTATGTTAAGGAAGTTGCTGAGCAAGACCAGCCTAAAAGGTATGGTGATAGACTTGAAAATGAAGACAGGAAGCTTGCAAAGTCAGTGGAAACGTCTACCAGAGAATCTGTGTTGTTTGATTCTATTAACTCTTCTGACATTCGACAAGTTAATGTTGATGGTATCAAGGTTGAGTTCTGCGCACATGAGGAAGAAACAAATTCTGCCCGTGAATCTTCAGTGACCTCATTCTCTAGTTTTGCCACTGCCTCCATTGGTAGTGATTCATCTGATGACGTTTCTGTCTGTGAGAGTGATGATGTGAAAGTTGAGTTTTATGTGGATGAAGTTGTTACTTCTGCTGCCGAATCTTCTGGTACCTCATTTTCTGGCTTCTCGAGTTCACCTTCTGGTAGTGAATCATCTGATGATGTGTCTATCTCTGAGAGCATTGGTTCACATGAACCTGAGAGGTCAGAAAGTTCTTTGCCTGCTGACATTGCCATAGACCTGATGACTACTAATGATATGGATACGGCCAAGCCAGTGTCCCCCAAATTTACTTGTTTGGTTGAGTCTGTCGATAATTTTGCTAAATTAAATAAAGTAGACAAGACCAGATCAGGTGGTTGTAATTCAGAGAGTCAGTGTGCATCAAGTGGTTATCTGAGGGTGGATGCTAGTGGCAAGAATGAGGGATCAGTTGCTGAAGGCCCTTCATTGTCTTCCAGCTTCTGGGGCAGGACCCTTGAATCTTTTGAGTCCATAAGTGATGCCTGTGATGATTCTGCTATACTGAAGCATAATGAAGCTGGTGATAGCATATCTGAATCAGGATCTTCCTTGCGCTTTTCCTTTAGTTTCTCTAGAAGTACTCCATCACATGCACGAAGCTCTGAGGTGCACAAGAACGTACAAAATGGTGCCGTTTTAGCGTCCCTTGGAAACAACAAATCTACTTATGAAGTAGCTGTATCAGAAAATAAATCTAGCACAAGCAGTCGTTTGTCTCTATCTGGGTCCAAAGAAGTTAAGCCTTCATCATCATTAATAACATCATCTCCATCCATCCTGCAACCATCCCCTTCTGTTGGAGGGGTTTCTATGAGTAAGGGTGCTTCAAATGGCATAGTTAAGGATCACTGCAATCCTTCACAACCTCTTAGGCCTGGAGATGTCAGGCATTCATCATCTAGTGCTACCAATATTCATATATCTCCTAATTACGAGGAGCATTCAATTCACGCTTCAAAATGTCCTAATTATGGGGAACGCTCAATTCACGCTTCAAAATATGGGAATGTTACTTGCGCAGAGACTAACTCTACCAATGACTCTCAGGTTATAAGTTCTCCTAATGGAAAGAATGGCTTGAAAACATCTGTTTTGAAAGTTGTTGATCAATTTCGGGGATCTAAGCTGTTGAAACACAATCCAGCAGTGGTTGGGAACGAGATGACTGCTGGAAAATACAGTGACAAGGTATAGCAAATATTCTAGTGATGTTTTACCCCTATAGTTATTTATTCTCAGGTTGAAAAAAAAAAAAAATTGAGAAATTCCCTCTCTCCTTTCTATTTTTTGCAGGGTGTCTTTTCATATGAGTTGTTTGTCAAGCTTTATAATTGCAATAAGTTGGAACTGCAGCCATGTGGTCTCATAAACTGTGGTAACAGGTAACGGCGTTGATTGCTTTCTACATCTTAAAGCAGTTGTTAAATGAATTGATGTCCAGTTTCAAGATGCATGTTGACACTTTTATACGATTAGGAAGTATTAGAGCAGCCACAAAAAATATCATGGCTACTTATCTCTGATTCTCTGATGCTTCCCACCAATCTTCTTTGAATAGGAATACTAAATCCGGACCACAGCTTTTCTTAAGAAATCACTGGTTATCAATCTTCAGTTTTTCCTCTCCTTGTTTGTTTCCTCGTTTCCAAAATCTCACCACTGCTTATCTCAGATGTTTTCGTGTTTAGACCTTGTTTCATTTTTTAATTTCGCTGATATGGTACACATGTTTGACATCTGCTGTCACATGATAGTAGATGTCCTGCATAACCGTTCCTGAATGTATATAATACAAATCCCTGTTGTCTTCATCCTGTTACAGAATTTGAAGGCTCTCTTGGACATTGCCTTTGGCTTTTTCTCTGCTTTCAAATTTTCTTCTCTAAGCTACTTCCTTGATGCTGATTTTAGTATAATTTGATTTCTTCTCTGCAGCTGTTATGCTAATGCTGTCCTCCAGTGCTTGACATTTACTCCTCCACTGACTGCTTATTTCTTACAAGGACTTCATTCCAAAGCATGTATGTGTTTTCGTGCTCTCCATGTTGGATCAAC